TGCCCCGTGGGCAGTACTCGTCACGATGCAGATGTTGGGGGGGTCGATGCATGCCCCGATGAACCGTGTCAGGTGGTTGAACTGGATGTCCCGCCTCTGGAGTTGGAAGCAGAGCCGAGCCAAGATCAGATGGGACACCCACAGACTGGCCTGGCCCCATGTCCTCATGCTCCCGCTGCTGACAGGACCAGCCCCTCTGCTCCAAGCAGGGCACCCCAGCAGAGCCAGAGCCCAGACCCCACACCTACGTGCTTCAGCTCGAAGAGGACCTGCCGTGTCAGCTCGATGCGCTTCTTATTGACGTGCTTGATGGCCACCACGTTGCCCTGGGACAGAGGGGATGAAGGAAAGGTCAGTGCCACATGGGGAGGATGAGGGATGCACAGAGCGGGGACAACCAGGCATGAAAAATGCTGTAATGAGGACTGTGGAGACATGGCAGGAGCAAGATGTGCTCACCTTGAAGTGGCCGGTGTTGGCGAAGATCTGGAATTTGCCATGGGCGGTCATCAGGGAGCCATAGCTGGAGCCGCGCTGGGACAAAAGGAGAGTCTTAGGGATGGGACTCCAGGGCCGAGCGCCCCCAGGGCGGTGGGGAACGCAGGGACCAGTGCAGAGTGGGCTCTGCAGGGCAAGGTCTGGGGGGCTCAATGCTCTATGGGAAGTGCAAAGTCTATAGGGGCAGGGAGGTGGCTCTACAGGGAATGGACAGCTGTGCAGGGGCAGGACAAGGCGCGGGGCTCCGCAGGTCTCACCAGGGACAGCGTGAGGCGGCTGCCTGCTCTCTTGTGGTACCGCTCGGTGCTGCCGAAGTGCAGCTCGTCCCAGCGGATGCGCCACAGCATGCTGGCCAGCTCCTTCTCCAGCATCAGCTTCCTGGGGAGCACAGCACGGTCAGGCGCCCGTGGCCCTGCACGGGGACACCCAGCGGGCAGGACGGGTCCCCCACTATGCCTAGTGCCCAGCGCATCCAGCCTGCTCCACACTAAGTCAAGGGGTGCCCAGGGCTAAAGCAGAGGCTTTCTGGTCCCCCACTGTACCTGAAGATGAGGAAGCTGGAAATGCCGAACATGACGAAGGTGAGGCCGGCGCCCAAAGCCATGATGGCCAGCATGGAGAGGTGAGCTGCAGGGTGCAGGGGCTGTTAGGGCCACCCAGCTTCCCACCCCACAGAGCTGCCAGACCCTGCAGTGGCAGCAGGGGGAACAGCACCCACTGGAAACCACCTCGAGAGCCTGGCAGAGCCCAGCTGGTGGGTTCCCAGGCACCCGCTGGGGACTGAGGGATGTGAGGCTGAGGCTTAGGGGCCAGCTGCTCTAGTACCCACTTTTATTGCAGGAGGGGTCATCCACATCGAAGACGCAGGGCGGGTTGTCCAAAGGGGGTGCCCCCTTCACCCAGCGGATGGGATGGGCCCGC